GGGAGGCTGAGGCAGGAGGATCGTTGTGAGTTTGAGACCAGCCTGGGCTATACAGTGAGCTCAAGGCCAGTCTGAACTGCCTTGCAAGATCCTGTCTCAAAAAGACAAAAAACAGAGCAAAACAACCAAAAAAAGAAGGTGAGAAAAATAAGGTATGCACACTATTGAATGTAGCGTATAACCTCATTTACATGTTTAAACGTTATACATGCACACACATGCATAGGTGCTTATGTGCTTATATTGTTCACATATATACAAATGCGTATACTAGAATGTGTGCTTGCGTGTCTTTGAAAAGATACAAGAGATGACTGTGGCTGGGGAGGAGAACTGGTTTCTGCAGAATAGGAGTGAAAAGAAAGACTTCTACTGTAAGGTCTTTTGCACATTTTAAAATTTGTACTGTGTATGTAAACTGCCAAGTCAAACTTCAAGGGATAAAATGAATAATTTTAGCCACGTGTGGTGGTGCACACCTGTAATACCAGCCCTCAGAAGGCTGAAGCAGGAAGATTGCCATACATTCAAGGCCAGCCTGGGTTACATAGCAATTTCAAAGCTCTCTTGAACTACATAGTTACACCCTGTTTCAAAAAAGTTTTTTGTTTTTGTTTTTGATTTTTTTTTTGTCTTTTTGAGACGGGGTCTCTCTGTGCAGTTCAGGCTGGCCTTGAGCTCACTTTATAGCCCAGGCTGGTCTCGAACTCATAACGATCCTCCTGCCTCAGCCTCCCAAGTGCTGGGATTACAGGCGTGCGCCACCACACCCGGCAAAAGTTTTTTTTAAATATATATATATACCTTTTCTTTTTTTTGTACGAGGAATCAAACTCAGGACCTTGCACTTGCCAGGCAGGCACTTGTGCCACTGAGCTATATCCCTGGCCCATGTGTACACCCTTTAACTCACAGTTCTTCCACTCGCAGAAAGGTAATATACTATCATATATGCAGTATGAAAATCAACACAACAGCTAGAAAGAATGAGCAAAAATTTTATAGCACTTAGTTAATAAGTGTGATAGTCAGGTCTTAGTCTAAATGCTCTTTAGGTGTTAACTTGCTTAACATTCACAATAAACCCACAAGATAGGATCATCATCCTGATTCTCCAAAGAAATAGAAATGCAGATCAGTTAAAAACTTTCAGGGGACTGGGGATTTAGCTCAGCGGCACAGCGCCTGCCTGGCAAGCGCAAGGTTGTGAGTTCGATTCCTGGTACCAGAAAAAAAAAACCAAAACAAAAAAAACTTGCCTGAGGGCCAAGCGTGGTGGTGCATGCTTATAATCCCAGCACTGGGGAGGCTGAGGCAAGAGGATCATTGCGAGTTTCAGACCAGCCTGGGCTACAAAGTGAGCTCAAGGCCAGCCTGAACTGCATAGCAAGACTCTATCTCAAAAAGACAAAACAAAAACAAAAACAAAAAAAAACCAAACTTGCCTCAGATCACATTTATGATAGAAAGCCAAGCTGAAGGTGAAGCCTAGGCCATCGAGCTCACTACCAAGTGCTTACTCACCACGCACTACTGGCTTTCCTCTATTTGGGTCAGTGTGGAGTGTTTTTAAGACACGAGAACTAAAAAGGGATGGTAGTGAAGAAAATGAAACTCAGTACACCTTATTTTAGTTATTTATTTTTGGCACCAGGAATCAAACTCAGGACCTCATACTTGCCAGGCCAGTGCTGTGCTGCTGAGCTATATCCCCTGTCCCGACACTCAATACAAAAACTCTTTTCTGTTTAAAAAAATTTGGCTTCGGGGCTGGGGATTTAGCTCAGCGGTACAGTGCCTGCCTGGCAAGCACAAGGTCGTGAGTTCGATTCCTGGTACCGGAAGAAAAAAACAAA